TATCTCAAGCAATAGCAAAAAGAAATTGTAAAGTTCAAAAATTTATATGTGTGAATGTTTTTAGTTCAAGTTTGATAAACATAATAGAAATGTATTATACACATTGAAGATTTGATTTAAGATTTTTCTAAGAAAATATTATACATTCTGTCAAGTTTTTTTTACAGTGATACCCTCAAAACCAGATAAAATTAATTGACAATAACATCACAACAAGAAATAAGGGATCACAATCCAAAATCCATCCTACCTAACTCCAAAGGAAGTATGCAACAACTCTCACCTCAATTGCATAAATCACACCAGTTTATTGACTTAAGCATTAGAGAGTCTTTGGCCGATAAAAATTGGTCATTCATTCTATCTCGTTTGCTATCAAACAAGGAAACTTATATATCATCTGTCATCCATAATTAGTAACGCTATTATCAAATATGGTATTAACTTTCTTATTGAAAAATAATAATAATAATAATAGCCATAAGCATTAGTTCTTCAATTGGAATTTTTTAACGACCTAGTAGAATTGTTAGAGTCGTCTTATTTGTGGAACATTTTATTCCTGTAGTTGACGCAAGTTCTGTCTCATCACTACTCCCTTCTGTATAGAATCCGGGTTGTTTAGGACGGGGCAGCATTGCACCCTCATTATCCAACATCGACACCACAGATGACATTGTTGGCCTATCTTCAGGGCGTTGTTGCACACACAACAGACCAATTTGTATACATTTTATTACTTCTGACATTAGCATTGTTGAAGTTTCCACCTTCTCATCAACTAGCTTGATGGCATTCCCTTCAACCCATAGTTTCCATGCCTAAGAGAACACATTTATATTAGATATCAATAATGGAAGAAAATTCCAAAAATGAGGAGAACAAACTCATGTAAAAACTTACATGTCCAAGAAGGTTGTGAGTATGGTTAGGATGTCGGAACTTTCTGTTCCTCTGTCCACTCACTATTTCTAAAACAAGTACTCCGAAACTAAACACATCTGATTTCATTGAAAAGAGCCCACGTAATATATATTCTGGGGACATATAACCACTGCACGCCATAATCAAATTACTAAATCAAGAAAGAAGTTGGTGAAACTTGAAGTTGGGTAAGTATATGCAAGAAATCTTTTGGGTACTTACTAAGTTCCAATCACCCTTCTTGTTTTCTCCGATATTTGATCTCCTCCAAAAGCTCTAGCAATGCCGAAGTCTGAAATCTTGGGATTCATCTCATTGTCTAGTAGCACATTGCTAGCTTTGAGATCCCTATGAATAATTCTCAGTCTTGAATCTCGATGAAGGTAGAGAAGCCCTCGAGCAATCCCCATAATAATATCCAAGCGTTTCCTCCATTCAAGAGAGTTACTTTTTGTAGTATCTAGCACATAGATTAAGAGATGCATTTGTATAGAATATTAGTTTTGCGTTCAATAATTGACATACTGATATACAACTTCGAGTAGTGTGTAGTTTGTTTTCGACATTCAATTGAAGAAGTTAGAAGACAGGTCGAAGGACCAAACCAAAAATAAAGGAGCTCAAGTTGCCGTTGGGCAAATACTCGTAGATCAACATCCTCTCTTCTCCTTGAATGCAACATCCCAAAAGCCTAACAAGATTTCGGTGCTGAAGCTTGGCAATCAAGATAACCTCATTTTTAAATTCACTGAGCCCTTGTTTAGAATTCTCCGAGAGCCTCTTTACTGCTTTCACTTGTCCAGTTGATAACTGACCCTGTGGAAATACACAAGCTTTTTTTTTTGTTTTTGTTTTTGTTTTTGGGAAGTAAGAAAGTAAATAAAGGTTGAAGATAAAAACATCATACACAAGCATTCGCCAAACAAAACGTCTAAGGTGAAAGCCACCTAGACAGATATGGGGCCACCTAAGGCAAATCGACACTACATAGAAGAGCAATAAAACAAACAAGAAAAACTAGATTTTTTTTAACACTCATGACAAAGATTTGAATTTATACTCTTTCGACGCGCACTCACAAACACGCAACACAGAAAATTATATGACTTTAGTAAGTGCAATTCAAATTACCTTGTAAACTGGTCTGAACCCACCTTCTCCAATCTTATTAGAAATAGAAAAATTGTTTGTAGCATTTGCAATTGTGACTATATTGAAAATGGGCAAGTCTACGGTTTCATCATCTTTGAATGGAATGTTTGGCCGTGAACCTGTCGATCACAACAGATGAGAAGATCAGGAAACAAACTTGAAACATGGTTTTATTTGTGTCCACAATGGCATTGAATTCAACAGGACCTTGATGCAGAAGTTTTACAGGGGAATTTGGTATTTAAAGTATAGAAGAAAAACATAAGACATTGTAAATCACCTTCATTACACTAAATCGGGAGGGTGGAAAAAGGGACATTACAAAAACATTCACTTTTAATTGCTCCTCGCATATCAATCTAGATAAAGAAGTTGGTAAAGGAATAAGCACAAATCCTTGTTATTTTTCTATTCAAAGTAAAGTGCAAGATTATCAATTGTCACAAAAGCTTAAGCTATTAGAAAATTGGTGCGACAATATATATGTAGCTATCGTAACACCACTCATCAACAATGTATGTCCAGCTCATTTTAATACCATTTCTTAAGTGCAGCCCTGTCTCTGTCTTGCTATCTTTAAGGAAACACACAACTAACCAAGTTCAAACAAACCTTGTCTTGCACATCTAGGGTCAAATAAACAACAAACTCAAAGCCTTCCCCAGAACTAGAGCACTAATACCAAGTAGAATAGGGGTGTTGAGGGGTAATGTGGATCTATCCTGTGTACTATGCAAAGCTGAAGTGGAAACATTGAATCATGTTTTATTGTACAGCCCATTTGTGTGGCAAGTTTGGTCTAATATTATGGATTGGTGGGGTATTAAGTGGGTCATACCGGGGTCATTGGAAAGTCTGATACAGTGGTGGTTGCGGTGGAGGTTTAGAAAGAAGGAAAGGCAAGTTTGGAGAGCTGTTCTTAGATCAGTAATTTGGTCCTTGTGGAAGTTCAGAAATTATCGTGTTTTCAGTGGCACACACCGAGCATTGAGGAGCTATCTGAGCTTATCAAAGTTAGGGTGGCCTTATGGATGAAACCACAGGACATAGGTTGCTTCTACTCCATAGATGTGATTGTGTCAAACATACAACAGGTGAGAAAATGTATCTGAACAAATTTGAAGCTGAAACAGGGGAGATGTGATTGTGTTGATCTCTTCGGTTGCTGATGTGTCTTGTGTTTTGCTAGCTCAGTTTGGTTACTGCTGTTTCTATCATGGGTTGCTGCTGTTTCTATCCTCATAGTCTGCTTGGTTTTTCTGATCTATCCCCCCTTCCTTTTCTGTTGGTCTCTCGCCAACGTGTTGGCTTGAGCTAGCAGATGATTGAGTGTTCTTCACGGTGCCAACCTAATTGGTATTTGGGAGATACACTTTGATGCTTTTTGCTCTTGCCTTCCCCTTTGTTGATGTATTTTCATATGCATTGTATGTTTTGATTTCATCAATGAAGGCTCTTTCTTTTGCTGATTTAAAAAAAAAAAAACCTATCCTGAAACTTTAGATGCAAGAAAATAGACCCAACAAGATTGTCAGACTATCTTATCATAAAGAACCAATGAAATATTAGGATTAAGATAATGTAAGTCATTTAAATGTTGTCTTTGACAGAGGTCAATGGGAGCAACCATTAAGTCAACAAAAGAATAAACTCTGAATAAGAAACTGTAACGAAACAAACAGGTCATTCCAATTAAACAGTTCAGAAAAAATTTGCCAAAGTTCTTTGAAACTAGGGAAATTTCTTTAGACTTTCCACCCATATGAGCCTTAAACTTTCCACCACAACTAAAAAGGCTGGGCTTTTTTGGTGTGCAATATGTGGACTTATGTACGTATTATTATAAGATCATGTAATACTACAAGATTCACTAAGAACAAGGCAGATATTAACTCACTATGTAACATTTTCAGTATTCACTATTGAGATAATAATAGAAAATATAACTTCTCATTCTTTCATTTGTTGTTGCTTCCATTCTATTTTTTTTTTTATAGTTCTATTCATTTAATTAACATTGACTAAGAGATCTTTAGTTACTATATATTCTGCCTAAAGTTAACTCTCAACCAAAGGAACCTCAGATTTACCTCTTGTTTGTTTTATCCTCTTCCATATTATACAAGAAACAAGGAGGAACAACAACAATTCAGTGAAAATTGTACTTAAAAATAAAAAAATCACTCGATCCTCTTCTTCTCCTTGGAATCTGATCTAGACACTAGAAACACCATCCAGTGAAAATTATACTTAAAAATAAAAAAATCAGTGTAGTTTATGTGTTTGGCCAAATTTATGTAGCCTAATGAATTATTGAACACAAATCACAAGAAAGTTACCTAGGTCTGCAGCTGTAACCCGAATATACAGAGTTTGACCACCAGGATTTGGGAAGCTTCTAATATCAATCAGATCCCCATACCAGAGCAAGCATCCACTTCCCCCTCCAGCAGTGTCGGACTTAGCATAAGCAGTACAAGAACAATTCTTTAAACACTCCAATTCACATTCTTTAACTGTCATACTGGTGTTCATCCAAAAATCTAACAAATCAGGGACGATCACGCCTTCGAATGCCACAAATCCTTCTCCATCCGAACAGTTTAATGGGTATTTGCGAACGCACCCACCATTTGTTCCATATCACACATTGCATTGTCCCGGTGTAATTCAAAACCAGCCTTGTTATCTGTTGATATAGATCAAACTCGAAATACACTTCCTCTGAATTATCGATGAAATTAGTATTGAAGATAGAGTTTTGAGGCTCGACACCATTAAACTGCAGCCCGTTCCATATCCCAGTTCGGTACTGCTTAACAGACCCTTTACGTATAACACCTTGAGGAAGACCATCAAGATCAAACCGATAAGAGATATCTCCGGGAGAAGGGTCATCTGCGCTCTTCCACGATGTCAAATACCGGTCCAAACCAACCCTCAAGTCCCATCCCAGCTTCATACCAGCTATCTGTGTATCTGAAGGATGATCAAAGCTTTGCCAAATATAACTTTCTGTGTTCCCACCATTTTCACTTTTCAAAACAAGATTTCCAGAGTCTAAGAGTTGTGCAACAGTAGGCTTTGACGATATATTCCGGATACCGGTAGACCACGCAACTATTCCTCCACTGTCAAGAAGGATCAGATTTCCATCATCCCCAATCTTTAGACCACCCGATGAATCATTAAGCGGTCTGTCTCTGTTCGCCACCCAAACAATGGTTTGAACTGGGAGATTGTTATACCATATCCCCAAGTATCGGCTCCTCGAATTGCTTGTACTGAAGAAGCCTAACTTGAAATCTCCTCTAGCAGATACTAATGCCCCACTGTCATTGATTTGCTGGTATTGATTTAGCATGTCATCTGCTAAAACAAAAGCAGAGAAGTAATATGAAATAGCAAAAAGAATGATTCCCATGAGCATTTTGCAAAAATTATGATGATGCTATCATGTGTATTCTTTTTCCTGACCTAATTTAGCATGCCCCTTCACTCTTTTGGAAATGGCGAACAAAGCAAATAGAAGTTGTATACTGCTATTTCTATAAGAAAAGTTAGTATATATGGGCCAATGAGGAAGATAATAATCAAAACTTGGAAATCAGCAAGAGAATAAGATTATGACACATCACTGCTAGAGAAATTTGATAAAGCAGTTGAGATGTTACTTTGTTATGTGTTTTCCCATTTCAACAGTTCCATTATTTCCAATTTTTTTCAACACTATGTATAATTAAATATTGGAGTTTCTTAGAAGATATTAATCAACATCAGATCATAAGTTTTGGGTTTTTTGGCTAAAATAGTCACAAAAAAACAAAATAGACTAAAAAGCCAATAAAACAAAATATCACATCCAAACCATAATCATTATATTTTTTCTCTTACAAAAGTCAAAAAAACTAAAAAACTCATCGCAAACGAGGCTTTTTAACCGCTAAGTAAAAAAGCCAAAAGGTCAAAAAGTCAACCCATATCCCAAATGAACTATAAGAAATGACCATATCATTCTATTCAATTTCATTTTAGTGAACCAAACCTACATTATTGGTGAATTATGAAGATTTAAAAATGAAGTTTATTGGTGAATTATTTAGAAGTAATGGATGGATGGTTATTTGCCAAATGTATGAATTATTTATAGTATATTGTTGGACTATACCAACTGCAATTGCCTTTGGAGAAATATTTTTTTTTTTAAAGTTGAAATTGTTTGCCAAATGTATGAATTATTTATAGTATATTGTTTGACTATACCAACTGCAATTATTTTTGGAGAAATAAATTTTTTTTTTTTTAATTTGAAATTGATCAAATTTTACAATTCAATCTACTACCTCAAGAAAAAAATGTGAATAAATTAATAATGTTAACGCTCGAAAATATTAAAAAATTATCTCGATAATTATAATTGTGATTTACGTCAATATCAATAACTATGATTTATGTAAGCTACAAAAATCATATAAAATTGCTCAGGAAATATATAATTGTAATTATTGTGAAAAATAAATTGTAAATGATTTACTTACTAATACAATAATTTGAAATTAGATTTCTCACTTAATATTTTAAGTGATTTTCACGAGAAAAAAAATTGTAATTTTTTTATTTATTTAAAATTTGAGCAGGTAGGTATTAGGTACAAATATATATATATACATATATTAATTGAAAATTATTGCTAATATTTTATATGTATATTTTTAAATTATGTATAAGAATTGGGATCGCCTTGGGTACCAAAAAAAATGAAGACCACCTCTGACATTGATCAATACAAGTGGAATTATTCCACAAAATGATAAATAATACCACGGTATTAGGTAAACAATATGTGCACGTTTCATTGTAGGAGACAATGGGAGGGGGAGAACATGAGATTCTCACATTTTAGATGGTTAAAATTGGAATCCTAGATAAGATTGTGCAGAGAGGGTTGTAGATTTGATCGTAAAATTAAATTGAGAATCGTAAGATTTTACTTTCAATGTAAAATAAAATAAAAAATCATCCATAATGATAATGTATTATAAGTAATTTTAAAATTATTAAAGAAAAATGATAAATTTAATATAATGCATCTTTTATGTCAATATAAAGTAGAGATGTTTAGAGGAAGAGTTTATAGTCAAATTCCCTATATAAATATACAATATACGTACATATATAAGAAATAAATAATAATAGTTTTTTTTATGAGTAGGATCATAATTACTTTTCTACTAAATTAAAAATCCTAGTGTGATTCGAATTGATCGGGATTCTGATAACAATGCTTATACCTATTTTAATCTTGCGTTTGATTGCAAGAAAAGGAGGATGATTGGAAGTGCGGAAACATGCGAATCTCACACTTATTTTAATCTAGCGTTTGTTTTAGGGGGATTTGGTCATAACCCCCTCACTATCTAATTTCTCTTTCAAAAGGACAAAAATTATATAAGTACTTTCAAAACCCCCTGATATTTTAAAACTTGTTTCTTTTACTATATTACCCTCATATCTATCAGCTCTCCTATTAAAGACATTTTCACTATGTATTTCAGAGTAAAATTTTACTCTTTACTCTGTATAAAAGTAAAATTTTACTATGTATGAGAGTAAAATTTTACTCTGTATAAAAGTAAAATTTTACTATGAATGAGAGTAAAATTTTACACTCTGAAACTAAAAGTAAAATTTTACTCTGTATAAAAGTAAAATTTTACTCTGAAAAATAAGTAAACTGTAAGACTCTAAAGCTAAAAGTAAAATTTTACTCTGTACAAAAGTAAAATTTTACTCTGGTTCTGTCAAATGAAAAAAACAGAGCAATAGAACCAGAGTAAAATTTTACTCTGGTTCTATCAAATGAAATTTGATATTTACTCTGAAAAATCGATGGAATTTTGAGCTTTGAGCTTTGAATCAAGCCTATAATCCTTGAATCAATCGATGTTTACTTGAAAAACATTGAATCATGCCTATAATCCTTGAATCAGGCTTATAATCTGAAAATTTTAGAGAAATCTCAATTTTTCATACCCCGGTTCTTCAGATTTTTTAGATTTTATAGATTTTTTAGATTTTTAAAACTTTGAGCTTTCAAAAATCTATATATTCGAATTCAAATCTCAAAACACACAAACACACACATATGTATAGATATATATATATATATATATTACAAATCGGAAAATGTAGATTATGTATCAGCGCGATTTGCAAGTTCTCCACAGCTCCGGCCATGGAGGAAGCTAGGATTAGAAGAGAGAGACGAGATAGAAGATGAACAGTTGAAGGAGAGTTGAAGGAGGAGAGTTGAGAAGATGCAGAGAGAGATCGTCGGAGCTTAGGAATGACACAGCTCCGGCCATGGAGGAAGCTAGGATTAGAAGAGAGAGACGAGATAGAAGATGAACAGTTGAAGGAGAGTTGAAGGAGGAGAGTTGAGAAGATGCAGAGAGAGATCGTCGGAGCTTAGGAATGACACAGCTCCGGCCATGGAAGAAGCTAGGGTTAGAAGTGAGAGACGAGAGAGGAGATAAATTTTGTATCTGGATTGTGTATATGTGAGGGTATAATAGTCTAATAAAATATTTAAATAATAAATTTTGTCCTTTATGTAAGATTTTATAATTATGAGGGAGTTTAGAAAGTATAATTTTTTTCTTAATCCTTCTAACAATGAAAGGAAGGTAAAGGGGGTTTATAACCAAATTTCCCTTTGTTACTTTGTAATATCATAGGTATTGTGACATTGAGGATATTAAACTTCTTTTTATCTCATCCTAGTCAAATATAATATCTCCCTCTCTACATTTAATTATTTATCCATTTATTAATTTCTTAATATACTCCATAACTCATCCTTTAGAATCCTATCATATATTCAATTATTCATCGGATCTAAATAACATTACATATCACTCACAATCTTATCAATAATTCTATCATATCTAATCTCATAAAAAATAATCCAACAATGAAATGTATGTACTACATTATTATTGGTGGAATGTTAGAAATATTTCCACAAATTATATTGATTATTGACAAAAGTACAATATTTAACTACTAATTTTTTTTAGTCGGGATATATTGATTATTGACAACTAAAAAACATTTAGTCGTTAAAAATGTCACAATTGGCGACTAAAAAAGTATTTTAGTCGTTGTATAGTTAGTTTTGGCTATTAAAATTATATAGTCACTGAATGAAAAATAAAAATTTACTTTTTATTTATTTTTAGTGACTAAAAAATATTTTAATCGTTGTATAATTAGTCTTGACTACTAAAATTGTTTAGTCGCTCAATAAAAAATAAAAATTTACTTTTTATTTTTAGCGATCAAAAATTTTTTAATTACCAAAAATTTTCTTTTAGCAACTAAAAACCAAAGAACTAAAATATTTGAAAAGAGATATTTCAAATATTAGAGGGATTTTTAAAATGAAATGGCAACCCAAAAAAGTATTTTTAGTCGCCAATTAACGGATTACACACAATACACTCACTGCTCACTCTCTCTCTCTCCTCAAAACTTTTTTTCTCTGATAGGCTATTCTCTCTGGGCAATTTGGAACTTCACAAGAAGCCAATTCACAAAAAAAATCACTAAAAAAAATTAAAAAGTCATCTTTTCAAAAGTAAAAAAAATTAAAACGTCAAAACGTTATATCTGTCTCTTCGCTAGCCCTTCTCTTTCATCTCTCTCCTCTTGCCACCACTGCCATCGCGACGCCGCTGACCACCTCTCATCTTGCCGTCATTCTCTCTCGAAGACACCACCGACCACCTTTCCTCTCCTTTTTTGCTTTGTTGATTTTTGTAGCACCTAATTTTTTGATTTATTACTGTCAATTTTTTTCTCGTTCTTTGGCTGTTCCGCCAATTCAACACGCTTAGAGACTTGCGAAGAGATCGCTCGCGTGTGCCCATTTCTTCGAGTTCAGCCATGGCTTCAATCATTATCTCTTCTTCCTTCTTCAATCTCGCAATCCATTCTCTCCCTTGGATCTAAACGAATCATTTTCTTTCGATTTCTTGTTTGTTCCCAAATCAAAGCCCTAAATTTCGCTTGATTTGTTGTTGATCTGATCTGATCTGATCTGAGCGAAGAAATCGTATACAGTTTTAATGGCTTCAGCGAAGTCATCTCGGTCAAGGGTAATAACACTGCAGCGAAGAGCAGCAACCCTAAGGACTCGGGCAATAAGCTCGAGGAAAATCTTAACGTATTCAAGTCCGTTAATTTCGATGTCGATGGCTTTGTACAGTCCAAGTGTAATTCCTTGAACGAGAAGGTCTGATATCCAATCCTTTCTTGTCGTGGAATTTATCAATTGATTCTGAAAAAAAAAAATTACTAAAATTTATTGGGTATTTGATTTTCTTTTGATTATTGATAGAAATTTGTTTGGATTGAATAATT